CTCCGCTGCACAACCAAGCCATCATTACGCCGCCGCGGCCCCGGTGCGGTGTGGGCTCCTTCTGCGGCCACCCCGCCTCCTCCCCTGCCCTGCTCCGTCGATGTGTGCTATCCTTCGCTCAAGAATCCAACGTGGCGAATGTATTCGATGATATTCTTGACCCAATTTTTTACATTTTGAATTTTTTTTGTACAACAATGCCTTTGATCATAGTTTTTTCTTGTTCATTGTAGGTGAACGCTCTTTTTCAATCTTTTTCTCGGGACTCATCCTCCGACGAGGATGAAGAAATCGGCCGTGTGATGGCTTTGCACACAGATACGATGGCAAACAAGAACCCGAAGTAGGAAGGTTCGGTGGCTCGTCATCATGTGCTCCGTCGGAACAGAGACTACTTTGGAGAGAATCCGGTATATGGTGCAAAAACTTTTAGGAGAAGATTCCGAATGTCAATGAGTTTGTTCTTCCGCATTGCTCTTGCCGTCAAAGAACACCACTCGTTCTTTCAACAAAAAAGAAATGCAGCTCGTCAACAAGGTCACAACAGTTTGAAAAAAGTTTGTGGTGCCGAGAGAATGCTTGCATATGGATGTCCAGCTGATTCTGTTGATGATTGGATTGGAGTGGCAGAGAGTACTTGCCAGTTTGAAAAAAAAAGTGCTATCTTCGTTGAGATATTTGGAGAAGAATATCTTCGAGCTCCAAACGAAGAGGACACGGCAAGATTTCTTGAGATGGGTGTGTCAAAAGGCTTTCCAGGAATGCTTGGAGGTATCGATTGCATGCATTGGAAGTGGGAGCTTTGCCCTACGACGTTGCATGGACAATTCAAAGGAAAGGGTAGAGCCGCAATTATAATTCTAGAAGATGTGACATCAAATGGCATGTGGATTTGGATTGCTAGGATCTAACAACAATCTAAATGTTCTGCAAAGATCTCATCGATTTTCAAGGTTTTCTGTTGGAGAGGCACTCTGGTGAATTTTGAAATCAATGGGCGTCAATACAACATGGGCTACAATCTCGTTGATGACATATATTTGGAATTGTTAGCTTTGTTGAAGACAATATCCAACCATGGAGGTAACAAGAATACTTGCTTTCCTAGGAGACAAGAAGCATGTAGAAATGATGTTGAGCGGGCATTTGGGGTTCTCCAAGCTCGGTTGCCATTGTTTGTGGTCCTACACACTTTTGGCATCAAAAGGACTTGTGGTGTATTATGATCACGTGCGTGATATGGCATAACATGATGATATAGGATGAGAGGGAACAACTGCATGCCTATCGCTATGAGAATGAGGGGAACAAAATTTACATGCCACCAGTTTAGCCACACAGGGATGAACGACGATTGTAGAAATTTCTCAAAATGCATCGACGCATAGAAGCCCGTGCCAGTTCTCACCAACTCAGGCATGATCTAGCTAGTTGAGCATTTGTGGACACTTCATGGCCAATAAATTTTTGCACTATGTTTTATTTGCAATGTTTCTGACCATCGATTATGTTTAATCGAACTTGAATGCCATACCATTTTGAAACTATTATCAAGTATGTGACTTGTATGTATCATTGTTTGAATTATTATTATGATGATATTAGACATATGCATATGTCATTTCTAATTATGTTTAATAAAAAAAGGAGAATTAGGCTTTTAGGGGAAGAAATTTACATGATCTGACAAAAGTTGCTATGAAGGAACTTCCCCTAAAATCTGTAAAACCTATTTTACAAGGAGTTTTTTTAGGGAAACTGTTAGAGTCACCCTTAGCAATTGTTCATTGTGTGGATAAATATTAGTGATATTTTGTTTAATAAAAATTATCCCCCTTTTACTCTTTTGTGGATTAGGATCACGTGGTAAAGGCACCGTGCAACATTCCTAGTAAGTTGGTTGATCCTACATGTTTGAACTTTTTTTGTTTTAAATATACCACCAATGGTGAGTTTGCGCCCTTACTCACAGGGTTAGGGTAACTCCAACGTGGATCACCAAATGGACGACATCAAATATCCACGCACACATCTAACCGTGTTCAAGATTGATGGGCGGGGCATCGACCATACAGCCGTGGACACCAAATATCTGGTCCATTAGAAACGGAGCTCTCACAGACATAGATGAAACTGAAATGAAACATACGTAATTTAAACAACGATAGATACATTATAACTAAACAGACGAATTAAATAAGTTCAACCTAAAATCAAACTAATCATAACTAATACTGTAACGCCCATGATGCGGCTATATCTCCCACGTGTTGAATCACGACTTAGAGGCATAGCCGCATTGTAAGCAATGTCGCAAGAGGGGTAATCTTTACACATCCCATGTACTGAATAAGGAAAGAGATACATAGTTGGCTTACAATCGCCACTTCACACAATACATGAGTAAAGCATTACAACATCCAGATACAATCAAGGTCCGACTACGGAACCAAAATAAAAGAAGACCACCCCTAATGCTACAGATCCCCGATCGCCCCAACTGGGCTCCACTACTAATCAACTGGAAACGAAACAATATAACGAACACAGACTTTGTCGAGCTCCTCCTTGAGCTTGGTTGCGTCACCTGCACGATATCATCGGCACCTGCAAGCTGGTTTGGAAGTAATCTGTGAGTCATGGGGACTCAGCAATCTCACACCCTCGCGATCAAGACTATTTAAGCTTATGGGTAGGGAAAAGGTATGAGGTGGAGCTGCAGCAAGCACTAGCATATATGGTGGCTAACATATGCAAAAGAGAGCGAGAAGAGAAGGCAAAGCACGATTGAGAATCTATGATCAAGAAGTGGTCCAAATCTACTTATGTTCAAGCATAACTCCAACACCGTGTTCACTTCCCGGACTCCGCCGAGAAGAGACCATCACGGCTACACACGTGGTTGATGCATTTTAATTAAGTTAGGTGTCAACTTTTCTACAACCGGACATTAACAAATTCTCATCGGCCCATAACCGCGGGCACGGCTTTCGAAAGTTCAAATCCCTGCAGGGGTGTCCCAACTTAGCCCATCACAAGCTCTCACGGTCAATGAAGGATATTCCTTCTCCCAGAAAGACCCGATCAGGCTTGGAATCCCGGTTACAAGACATCTCGACAATGGTCAAACAAGACCAGCGAAGCCACCCGATGTGCCGACAATCCCGATAGGAGCTGCACATATCTCGTTCTCAGGGCAACACCGGATGAGACATCCTACGAGTAAAACCAACCCTCAAGTTTCCCCAAGGTGGCCCGCATTCTACTCAGTTCGGACCAACACTTAGAGAAGCACTGGCCCGGGGGGGTGTTAAAATAAAGATGACCCTTGAGTCTGCAGAACCCAAGGGAAGGTGGTAGGTTGTTAGTGCAAATGGTAAAACCAAGGTTGGGCCTTGCTGGAGGAGTTTTATTCAAGGCAAACTGTCAAGGGGTTCCCATTATAACCCGACCGTGTAAGGAACACAAAATCAAGGAACATAACACCGGTATGACGGAAACTAGGGCGGCAAGAGTGGAACAAAACACCAGGCATAAGGCCGAGCCTTCCACCCTTTACCAAGTATATAGATGCCTTAATTAAATAAGAGATATTGTGATATCCCAAAAAATATCCATGTTCCAACAAGGAACAAACTCCAATCTTCACCTGCAACTAGCAACGCTATAAGAGGGGCTGAGCAAAGCGGTAACATAGCCAAACAACGGTTTGCTAGGACAAGGTGGGTTAGAGGCTTGGCTTAG